ATGATTATGACGTAGCTGTTGAGTTCTTATACAGTATAAACATTCATGTAATTGGCCCTATTGTGTTTCCAATCTTATGGGTTGGGAACAAACTGGAAACTGGGCATCCAACTTTAATGCCAAGCCTATATCTTACCAGTCAGAATGTAATACTTTTATCACTAAAGAGTCATGATAATCTAATGTCAAACTTTTAAAACATTCAAACTCTTTGGCTCAGAATTATGTAAATGCATATATATGATCAGGAAACAAAAGTTTAATTTATAAAGTTGCCTGTTTGTGTCTGTATTCTAATTTTCCTCCACAGAGGTAGTCCCATTATGTGTGGACTAAATCAAGATATAGTAACTAGATGCAATATTATCTAGAACATTTCACACCAGATTAGGGATCAGAATACCGTTTTTATTGCTCTGATATTATTTTACACTTCGCCCTGCCTTTATTCACATACCAGTGCTTCTTTTCCAACAGTTAGGATAGAAGTGTAGGCTTCCAAATATACTCTGCTACACTGCTTTATTACTTCCAGCCCTTTTACTGTAATATCTTTGGCATCTCCAAGTCCAAGGCCAATCAAGTAAAGCATTTTTAAAAACAAAACCAAACAAGAAATGCTTTGGTATGGAGGATTTTTACACCTGTCAATGAAACAGACAAAAATACAATGAAAATCAAATATTAAAGCTTGATAATAGAACATAGGAAGTTTGAGAACTTCTATACAGGTAGTCCTCAAGCTACAACAGTTCATTTAGTGACCGTTCAAAATTACAATGGCACTGAAAAAAATGACATGATTATTTTTCACACTTACAACCATTGAACATCCCCATGGTCACATGATTCAGATAAAATTCGGATGCTTGGCAATTGTCTCATATTTATGACAGCTGCAGTGTCCCAGGGTCATGTGATCATCTTTTGCAGTCTTCTGACAAGCAAAGTCAATGGGGAAGGCAGATTCACTTAACAACCATGTTAATAACTGCAGTGATTTGCTTAACAACTGTGGCAAGGGAGGTCGTAAAACTGGGCAAAATTCACTTAACAACTGTCTCACTTAGCAACACAAATGTTGGTCGTAAGTCGAGGACTACCTCTAGTTCAAATATAGTGGAAAAAAATTACTGCAAAAGTTCTTGGAATAACTTGATCATACAATGCATTACTTTGAAGCTCTGAAGTTATAAAAACAAAACCAATAGACTTAGATATGAAATACAATTGGATGTAGGAAATATACCGGTAGTTATTAAAATTTAATATTCCAAAATATGGATCATAGAGAGATATTGTTCAACATTAACCATTACATCAATACTATTCACATGTCTGATACCTACACAACCACAATCAATATGCCGATTACTTTATGCCATTAGTGAGTGTAAAGCTGATGTGGCGAAATTAAAAAGGCTTTTCTAATTATCATTCACCACTGGTTAAAAAAAAAGAAAAAGAATGGCACAGTAGTAATTGGTTAATCATTGCTGCTGTTATGTATATTCTACCTTGTATTATATTGTTTGGGAATTGGGTTAATTTTACCATAAACATTATATTGCATGATTGCAATTGTTATAAGCAGCCATTAGTTTGGAAGGACTAGCAGTATATAAATCTAAATAATAACTAAAAAAATTGTACTGGTGCCCCATGGTCCAGATGCATCATGCGCAGGGCACGCCCACCCCAGCTCCGCAAAGTAAAAAAACCATCACAATACATCACGTGATGCAATCGAGTTTGACACCTATGCTTTAACCATTACCAAAGGCAAAATATTCATTTTACACATGCATTTATTTAATTGATTTAAAAGTTTTATACTCTACCCTTAATCCTATGCATTCCCCCTTTTAATATATTATCCACTTTTCTTAGGTTTACTTTTTTTTTCCAGTAAGCCCTTGGGCTTTCATATAAAATTTATGTACTCTTTGTTCCAAAGCCAGGTTTCTAACTACTCAGCAGTCCTTCAGCGGCAATTCTCATCTAATTCTGAAATTTCTTATCAGAACTTCATTTTCTTTTAATTTTTAAATTGTATCCATAAGAAACTGTTACAAAGCAAAAAAATGATTTATCAATAATTCATCATACTGACAATATTTATGAACTCCCAGGAGTTTATAAGCTTCTAAAAATGAGACATGCTCCAGCTGAATAATATTTGGTATCAACTTTGGACACAAGCATCTTTTTTTAAAAAAAGAATGAAAAGACTAGAACATAACTGCATTCCTGATCACCCTTCCTATAAAACATTGACCTAGTCCAATCTATTTCCAGGCATCCTTGTTTCCAAAGTTCTCCAGCTCTGTATTAAGCACAGGCTATATTTGCACATTATCCTCATTCCTGACGAAGTGAAATAATTAACAACCCAAACTGTACCTTGTACACATTGCCTGAGTTCACACAATATTCTATATTTTAGCCTAACATGTTGAGATCTCAGCTGCAGAAATTCAATCAAGATACTTCTCTCCAGCCAATGAAATGAGCTGGAGAATTAAAGAATTCCCATAATTTTTATTAAAAAGTAGGCTTCAATAATAAATATTTGCAACTGCATAATAAGCAAAATATATTAAAATCAAGTATTAAAATATTGTCTGAATGTATAGTGTTTGAATGCACATACACTTTGTTACTAATAAAAGAACATACTGTATTCAGCTTTGTTATCTGATTAACCTTCTGCACTGAAATTCAGTTATCAAGTTCATTCAAATTTCCAACGAAGCTAAATCCTTTAGGAATAATACAATTACTGCTTGATAGTCGTTGGGCTTTCTGGGAAACAAGCTTCATCTCTAGGAAATGTAATTCTAAAAATGCTTTTTTAAGAGCTAGGTCAATCGAATCCAATTGTTTCTAACTCGAATCTCCATCCCAGTCTAGGGTAGTACATTCCACCAAGGTTACTCATTGGATGAATGTACTGGCCACTCTTCTATGGAGATTCTCAGTCATCCAGGTCATGGTTGTCCCAAAGGTGCTGGACTTTCTTGGGGTTATGGGGTGTTTTGTTTTTTTTTGGAAGAAGCTTCTGAGCTGAAAAAGCTTCTTGGATGAGAAGCGAAACGTCTTCCAAGAAAAACAAGAAAGTTCAGTTTCCTCTTGAAAAAAAAGCACCTTTGGGACTACTGCCCATTCATTCTCTTTACCTAACCTACCTCACATTAAAAAAAAAAGAAAAAGAATGGCACAGTAGTAATTGGTTAATCGTTGCTGCTGTTATGTACATTCTATCTTGTATTATATTGTTTGGAAATTGGGTTAATTTTACCATAAACATTATATTGCATGCTTGCAATTGTTATAAGCAGCCATTAGTTTGGAAGAACTAGCAGTATAAAAATCTAAATAATAACTAAAACAATTGACAGCACTTTATAAAATTGGCAGAACAATGCGTGTAAACAACCCAGGACTCCTCACAGAAAGACAGACACGGGAACCGTAAAGTCTCTACACGAGAAATTCGACGTCCCCCTCCCCCGCCCTTATACAGATGTGCTCAATTTTGCAGAACCTCACCTCCTCATTCATCGGTATAGAACGCTCGGTTTCTTTACCTATGCAAATGAGGGTCTGCTTAGCATGTCGTCGGAAGCTCTTCCTCCCTTCCTATTGGCTGAGACCCCGTAGAACCCCCTGCCCGGCGCAGCGGTACCCTTTCCCTCCCGCTTGCACCTGCCTTCCAGCTAGCGTTCTCCTCTTCCCCCTTTCGCCTTCGCTTCCGGGGTCTTTCAGTGCCGTAAAACAATATTGCCCTTACCTTGCGACAATTTTACGGCAGCAAGATTCTGGCTTCTTTGCTTTCTCGGTGGGTTTCTGCTGACTTGTTTCCGCCCGGAGAGGTGATGACGGGAGTGACTGGATGGTGCCTTTGGTGCTGAGGTGCAGGCAGATCAGGATGAGCACCTGGGAGTCCGGCAAAGTATTGGGGGTGCCTACTGTTCCCCTTTCTAATGGCTTAAACATCCCCATATTGGGGCTGGGTAAGTGCACGGATCCCCCCCTGCTCGTCTGATTGCGAAAACAAGAGGAGCAATTATAAATGTGATAAAACATGATCGCCCAGGTGCATGCGTCTTTTCCTTGCCTTTGAGCTTCATTTCGCCTTAGTATTCATCCTGTACCTGCCTGCTGTAAAGCAACGTTGTGCATTCCTCCAGGTGCTCTGAACTACAGCTTCCATCCTCGTTGCTCAGAGTAATAATGTCTGACATCAAGCTCTATCCACCCAAATTAAGCAGGATATTGTACTGGACACATTTGAAAAAAAATCAGGTTGACAATATGCAATTGCTGCTATGCAACTGTATATATTTATTAATACACTTATTCTAGATAGGGGCAGTGATTCTGTACCTTGGAATAAATCTCTTTCACTTAAGACTTCTGAGTAATTATATGTAAGATTGCAGTGTCAAAACAGTAGTCCTCTTCTTGGGCAGCACTTTTCTGCCAAGAGTCATTAAATCAGGTAGCTTCCTCTCTGGAAGCTCAGAGATGTGATTCATTTAGAAATCTAGTGGCAGTTTCTTATAAGATCATTTAGCTTATGTTTGCACTGGATGTTTTTGAACAAACTGGCAAGTCGTATGTACTTGGGTAAGGAACACTATAACTCAGTCTTAGGGCAGGCTGATTATTTGCAGAATAGTGCTATAGAAATATGCTATACATGTTCCATCTTTAGGTAAGTATTTTTGGTTTTTGGAGTACTTAATTTTTCTTTTAAACTGCATTCTTCTAGATCAGTGTTTCTCAACCTTGACAATTTTAAGGCATGTGGACTTCAACTCCCAGAATTCCACAGCCAGCAATGCTGGCTGTGGAATTCTGGGAGTTGAAGTCCACATGCCTTAAAATTGTCAAGATTGAGAAACACTGTTCTAGATCGTAGTGTCTTAAACTTTTTTTCCCCCCTCAAGACCTCTTCCCAGTTTTAAAAAGTATAGAGCAACCCCAAAGAACTTTTGTTTGGATGGGTTATATTTATTGATATTTACCACATTAAAGTTTAAAATTGATGCATTTCTTGCCACTACCATGTCTCATGATTATTTGATGTGATTAATATTGCCTCTGTTTTCAATATGAGCTGGCAAATTTTGATCTTGCGGACCACACTTTGAGAAATACTGGACTAGATATATATTAGGAATTGAGCATTGGTGATGAGTAAGGCCAAAGCTTAGCTTTTTATATAAACTGTTTTTTCCGCCTCTCAGTCCAGGTATTGCCATAAGAAGATCAGGTAGTTCCTAATGCATCTGAATTAATATTTTGAAGAAGATTTCCCAAGTTATGCTAAAGTCCTCAGCTTGTCCACCTCTGGTTTAATTTATTTCTGGTAGCACGCATTTTGGAAAGTATTACTTAAAAGACAGCAATCCTAACTCAGCGGCTCCCAACCTTTTCTATACCTCGTACCCCTAGAGCACTTCTGATATATTCTCGCACCCCTTACAAAAGTTTGAAATAATGGCAACGAATTATGCATATACACTATAATTTTGAAAACCCAAGTTTTCGCACCCCCTGGAATATTGTGAGCACCCCTGGTTGGGAACGTCTGCCCTAATTTGTCCTTTGTGTTGAATGTACTCTTTATGATCTCAATATTATTACCAAACTTATGACCGGTTGCTCAGTGACAGGTCGAAGTTACGATGTATCTGAAAAAGGAGACTTATGACCTGTATCTGAAGTTCTGACAGTCTCCTCCCCACCTGTGGTCATGTGACTGATTTCAGGCTCTTGGCAACAGGGTTACATTTATAGCCATATGCAACACCCTTTGACTGAGTTTTACAATGGTTTTGCTGGAAAGTGGCACTTCCAATTGTAGCAGAACTGCACTGATAATGAACAATGGGTTCACACTTACAACTGCCACATTTGCTTAACAACCACTGCAAAAATCATTGTAAAATTATGTGACCCATTTTATGATTGTCATGTCATATGACTCTAGTGGGTAATCTCCATTACGGTTGCATGTTGAGGACTTCTAATGTGGTTGACTGAAAGGTATTGTTTGCCACCTTATTTGTAGGAATAATAAAGGGTTAGATACAAATAAATTCTAAATGAAAATTCCTCTCTTAAATTTGAGTAAGAAATTCTTATTACTATAACAGTATATATGCTACAGTCTTATTTTTAACCTTAAGAAAGATTCCATTGAATTTATTACGACTCCGTCTTATTAGCAGGAAATATTCTCAAGAGATTTCATTCTCCAAAGTTTTGAGGGGGTATTTTTATTGTTTGTTTACTGTATTATACTGACATATTTCCAATAATGTATTTTTTGTCACATTTATGTAGTGTTTATTGTAGGTGGTGACCCTTTGAGAGCTGTATGTAATGAAATTTCATTTTAATGTATGCTGATTAGCGTACACTTAAAGTGACAATAAAGTTACGCTATTCTACTCCCAAGGAGGCATGTTGCATACAGTTAAACACCCTCTTCTCATATGTTTCAAAAGCAATCCATTTTAACAAAGTCCCATTACATTCAATAAGATTTATTCCCAAGTAAATGTTTGCTTAATTTAGTGGAGGGATTCTCAGACGGTGGGAGTTGAGAGTAACTTAGATACAGATTGCATTTTTTTTAAGCTGATCCGAGCTTACAGAAGCAAAATGGGAAAAGTACCAAAACTTGCTCCTACTTTTCCTGTGCAAGCCAGCCCCAGGTTTCCAAAGCCAAAATGAGGAGAAAAATACACAACAGGTTTTGACAGTAATACTGTTTTGCCCAGACAAGGGATTTGCACAAACAAAGCAGGAATCTGTCAAAGTCTAGTCCTATAATACATAAGCAAACCTACGGCAGATTTTGCACAGACGAAACAGTGAGCAAAGCTTAAGGCTAGACTTGTGAGATGGCTGAACCAGTGGGTCTAGACATCTGTCAAAATCATCTACTGCTCACAGCAGTGCTTGAGACTTCTAGTGTGGAATGCACTCTGGGTCATTCTGAGTCATCTGAGTGATTATAATGTGTATGTGTTAAAGAAGTTCAGAATTTTCCCCATCATTTAAAATTAATAGCCTTTCAAAATGGAGGTTTTTGATGGATACTAGGGGGAAAAAAAGCTAAAGAATAATAAAATTTAAGTCAAGAAATTATGCTGAAACTTATTTATGCTTTAGTTAAAGGTATATTATACCTTGCCCAGAAATCTTAAGTTTTATTCATTCATAGAATGGTAAAGTTTACAAATCTCAGTTAGTCTGTTACCGGATACAAATGAATGGCTTAAGAATGGCTTAAATTCTTGAATGGCTGTGTGGGTGGGGGACAACTGTGTATGGTTAGCATTAGTATATCAACTAGGAGCAAGAAATGCAAATTTCTTGAGCTTGAGGATATGGCAGAGGTGAAAGCCCTTCCTTCGTGTAGCAGATAATCAGTTCCTTTAATATTGAATATGCTGAAATAATAAAAGTATACATTCCACCAACCTCAATAAATAAGTTGGTAGAGTAGTTGGGAATTTAAGTAGTTTATGGCAGTGATTGTATAGCAAATGTACTGCTAGCTAATTTAACCACATTTCTTCAACAAACATTTATGGATTTGAATGACTCAGAGAATTATGAAGAGCCCCCCCCCAACTGAGTTTGCACTTTATGCTAGGATTAAATGTGGTTAGCTGGTTTGTGGTTTGGTGTGTCATGTAAATATAGTCTATGTATTAAGGAAAATTTAGGTTGTCTGTATTGTGCTCTATAACAGTCATTTTCCCTGTTATGTATAATAATTACTACCTCTAAAAACAAAATATTGTAGGAAAAGAAATATTTTTGTTTTATGCTTATGATATTAAATTTATTGTTGATGTAATTAACATGTGGGAGACTTTATTTTATCTGTCAAGAAACAGCAAAACACTTGCTTAAATGTTGTTAATTAGACTTTATATAGCATACTTCATATTTTCAGTGTTTCATTATTTGAATAATCCTTTAAAAAATTAAATGCATTAGTCTAATAGGGAGGGATTGTCTTTGATGCTTCTGATCTGATTGCTGTTTAGAAATAGAACATTATCACTGGACCTGGCCATAGGATTTATTTATTTAAAACAGCGGTTCTCAACCTATGGGTCGCGACCCCATTTGGGGTCGATCGACCATTTCACGGGGGTCGCCAAGCAAGGCTGTCTGCCGTTTTTTCCCCCTTTTCTGGCGGGTGCCTTACCTCCCTTGGGCTGGGCCAGCTGGTGGTCGGCCTGCTCCGTCTCTGCCACTTGCCAGCTATGCCTCGGCCGGCGCAGGGGGCGGAACCACGCATGCGTGGCACTCCCGCGCAGGGAAAGTCCTTGACTTACGACCGGTTGGGTAGTCCTCGACTTACGACCTAGTCCTCGACTTACGACCGGTTTAGTCCTTGACTTACGACCGGTTTAGTCCTCGACTTACGACCGGTTGGGGGTCGCGGCATTAAAAAGGTTGAGAACCACTGATTTAAAAGGTTTTTATGGCTGCCTATCTTGTCAGAAATAACTCAAAGCAGCTTATAGCAATATTAAACCAGTAAAAATAAGAAAACCAAGAAAAAAACAAGCCCCTGATCCATCATCTCTCTGTTTAGTCATCTACACAATCACACTAACTCTCAGTAATGCTTCCCAGATCTCAGTTTCACTAGAGGAGAACTATGTAAAATAAGTAGGTGTTTATTGTTTATTACCTTTTTTGGAGTTCTGAGAAGAAGCATCAAGTCTCTCTGAGAATAAACTCAGGACTCTCTGATACAAGATTAAGTTCTTTGGGTTCAATTGTGGTCGTAAGTTGAGGACTGCCTGTATTATGGCTTGGGATTGAAATGAAGAGTCAGTCCTTGGTGCTCTCTGAGATTGTTCAATCTTCATTTCAATCCCAAGCCATAATACAGGCAGTCCTCAACTTACGACCACAATTGAACCCAAAATTTTATTGCTAAATGAAACGTTTGTTAAGTGAATTTTGCCTC